CACGCGAGGGACGTGCCTCCTTCGGTGTAGATGCACTAGTACCAGTCACAACTATGGAATCATCACCCATGATAGATAGCAACGGAAACAAACACAACACAAAGCAGATACGATAAACACAGCACAGGTACGGGCACAAGAACCCTAAAAAGAAATTAGGGCACAGAGTAGAACACGGCACAAGAACCCTAAAAAAGAAATTAGGGCACAAAGTAGAACACAGGTGGGCACAACACACACAGGTCACCAGAAACCTGGCTCTGATACCAAGTCAAACAATATGGTAGAATATTTTCAAATATATTTCATTCTCCGAAAGGAGGTATTTGTAATACAGGTTACAAACCCTAGTAGGGTTTAATTAGGAAATAAGTGGAATCTTAATTACATAATATCTACACAAAAGGAAAAATAAATAAAACCCAAATAGAATAGGACTCGCCAACATTATTTTCTTATAACAATTTGCGTAGCGCGACGTTGTCAAGTTTTGATAGTAGCTACGTAGGCTTGTGAAGTTGTGATTATGGTCAGTGAAAGGAATCTTAATTGTTTTTTTAATTGTGGAATTAGCAGTATACTAGAATATATGAATGAGACAGATTTTGTCAGACTTTTATTGATTGTTCGTGTGCAATGCTGTTTGATATCTATAAAAAAATGTCTGTAAGTGGAACTTCTGTACAACCAAGATGAGATTTGATAGTCTTCTATGTTAATATTCAGTCTATTTATACTTAAAAGCTGAAACCTTCAGTCTGCTATATTACCTAGTGGTTACTGGGTTTTAAGTATTATTGCCTTTTGGATTAATGGTTTTATTCTATTCTAACATTTATTTATCTAAAATTTATCAAGATAACCCTACTTATTCAATTGCCATGTTGTGAATGGATGTTTTGAGCTTCTAATGTTTTAGTCCTTAATTTTTTTTTTATATAATCATTTTCTTCTATTGTGATGGATTAACATTTTATTGCTTTAAAATCTTAACTATTATATCCAGCAGCTTCACTTAAACATAGAAAATATCTCCTTTACCACACGATTATAGCCATATTGTTATTCTCAGTTTTGTTCTGTTCGATTTTTTATTGATGTCTTCTTCTGAGTGAGATAATTATAGGTTTATTACAAAATTATCAAGATTTTAAGAACCATGTTAAATTTTATTTATCAATGTATTGCTCTTTATTACAAAGGAGAAACTTTATGTTCAATCAGAAATGGGACTATCTGATTATTTTTCTGTTGGTTAATGATTCCAGTTGACAGATGAACTAAACAGGGTGGATGAAAAGCTGAAAGCAACTGAAGCCCTTCTGGAAAGCAAGGTACTAGTTGTATTTTCCTTTGCTGCCTCATTGTATTATCTTCTGTAACCAACAAATGCATTTCTGTTTGCAATATAATGAGTACACTTATGATTTGCAGAATCTTGAGATTAAGAAAATAAATGATGAGAAAAAAGCAGCTTTGGCTGCACAATTTGCAGCGGAAGCCACACTTCGAAGAGTTCATGCTGCACAAAAAGATGATGAAATGCCCCCCATTGAAGCCATCATCGCTCCACTGGAAGCAGAGATTAAGCTTGCTAGGCAGGAGGTATATACTTTCCTTCTGCAATACTATGACCTCAATTTTTATTTTCATCTATTCTTTTATTCAACATTCTTAAAGACAGATAGGATTGTTGTAAAACTTTTGATGTAGTAATTTTCTGTGTCAATTTCCACCGTCTAGTTTGGTTTCCATATTGGTTTATACATGTGAGGTTTAGAATGTTCATAATGTATTGGGTTTCTGTATTCTTACTGTCTTTGTGGGTCTATTGATTCGTGCACATGAAAAGAAAAATAACGAGTTAATTTTTTTTCTTTAATACCTTTTCATGTCTTGGTTTTTTAGGTAGCAAAGTTGCAGGATGACAACAGAGCACTTGATCGGCTTACGAAATCCAAGGAGGTTGCTCTAGTTGAGGCCGAGAGAACTGTTCAGATTGCTATGGTAAAAGCATCCTTGGTTGACGATCTGCAAAACAAAAATCAAGAGCTGATGAAACAGATTGAAATATGCCAGGTATGTATGTTCTCTGTGTTTTCCCGCTGCAGGCAATGGGTGTGATTGAGGGAATGTACCGTTGATTTTGTACTAGCATTAGACACTATTTTTTGTAACATGTACTAATGGATTATCAGGAGGAGAACAAAATCCTTGACAAAATGCACCGGCAAAAGGTGGCTGAGGTTGAGAAGCTAACACAAACCGTTCGTGAGCTTGAGGAGGCTGTTTTAGCCGGTGGAGCTGCTGCCAATGCTGTGCGTGATTACCAGCGTAAAGTGCAGGAGATGAATGTAATAAACATTTCTTGGAACTCCAGTTCTTGCAAATCACTTCGTAGTTGTTCTGAGTCTGTCACAAATGCAAACTGCCTCTAACCTTCAAGCTTCCGTAGGAGGAGAAAAAACTGTTGGAACGGGAGGTGGCTCGTGCGAAGGTCTCTGCAAATAGGGTTGCCACTGTTGTTGCAAATGAGTGGAAAGATTCCAGTGACAAAGTGATGCCTGTAAAACAATGGCTTGAAGAAAGGAGATTTTTTCAGGCATGTTACAACTTCAATGCCACCTCATCATTTCTGCATGCAATTCCTTTAATTTGTACAAATAGTCATTTCGTTTCATTGTCTCTAGTTGCATCCTTCACCCAAGAGGTTGGCATTATGGCTATTGAATGGGCCTAAGGCGCTTCTTGCTGGATAAGGCAACTGCGTGGACCTAGTTATTATCAATTAAAATGTGGACCAGATGCCTCGTCAGCCCAAAAAGAAAGCATGAATTGGATATTTTTTTTCTACTTTAAATCGTTCTAAAAGTATTTAATGATCATCTATGTTAACCCAAGAGGTTTAACATATGGAAATATGATCTAGTACCATAGGTGACCTGCAATCTGGAAAATGGTTCTTTATTGCATAGACCACATATAATGCCTTTGAGAAGTTGCTAGAAAACCGGATGTGCGCGCGCGCGTGTGCGTGCCGTTGTTCTAAGATGGTTTATTTTGCCTTAACAAGCGGCGGTGAAAGTGAAAACAGATCAGGAAAGGAACAGTTAATTTTATTTGAGATTTAAAATGAAATATTTGACATGATTTTTGTAGGGAGAAATGCAACAACTTCGAGACAAATTGGCAGTAGCTGAGCGTACTGCAAAGGCAGAAGCACAATTAAAGGTATGCTAACTGTTTTGAATTTAGTCTGCTCTGACAATAAGGGTAACTGTTTCCTATTGATTTTTCCGATAACAATTATAACTCTTCTAGAAACGTTGATTAAATATCTCTAACTCATACCCATACCATACTTGTGTATTGTGATCACTCCAACAACCACCGGTGATTTTCATTGCATTAATTTGATTTGGTTTCAGATTTTTTTTATTTTTCTTAAAACAAGCATTGGTGTAAAAGGGCTTGTAGTTCAAGTTGTTAAACAGCATTTATCCATGCATATCCTAGGTCTTAGGTTCGATTTCCTCCTTCCCCAATATCGCTTGTATCAAAAAAATGAAAACCTTTGTCTCTTTTTAAAAAAAAAATTAAGGGAATTTACATAATATTTATAAAAAAAATGAATGTAAATACTTTTAATCGTTTGAGTTACAAATTCATTTGATCTGTATTCATAAAATACAAACTCTTTGAGTTTTCAGTTACATGACAATAGAAGGGATGAATTTTTAATTTTCTGTTTTTGTTTTTATGGGTATGTGTTTAAGCCTCTTCTTAACAGTCAAGCATTAATTGATTTCTTAGGAAAAATACAACTAAGATTCAAGGTTTTGGAGGAAAAGTTTAAAGCATCGAATGGAAAATCCCGCCCATCCTCAGATGCAAGAATCATCAGCAATGGGCCTTCAAGGCTTCAGTCTCTTGGTGGAGCTGAGAACTTCTCTAGAGCGTCCTCTAATGGCTATCTATCTAGGACAAAATCGAATTTACAATCTGGTTTCAACATTGCTACTGCAATATTGAAACAAGCCAAGAGTTCATCTAGATTGTTTGATGGTGGTAGTAGATTGCTAGACAGAGATAAGCTAGTCATAGATGCAACTGGGAAAGATAACACAAACAGTGTGTTGTGAATTAAGACTAACTCACTTCCCCTTAGGACCTTGTTGTTGATGAACTTTGTGACAAACTCTATGATGGATGAGTCTTACACACACACAGAAATTTAACCAAATAGAAATGACACAAGTGTTTATAGAGGTTCAGCAAAATGCCTACTTCCTCTTTGGTGATCTCCTTGAGAACTTTCACTAATGAAGATAGGTTACAACTTTGGTTTACAAAGAAGGAAACCCCCTTAGAAATCTACCCTCACAATCTGTTTCTCTCTCACCCTTGCTCAACAACTTGATACACTTAGAGAACTCTCTTGCTCTCCCCTTGGTATTTTCTGAACTTACAAGTTTCCAGCTTCTATACAATTCTCTATACTTTGCACAGACTTTTGCACTTAACAACTTAATGTTCTCTTGCTTCCTCTTCCCTCATATATAGGCCTTTGGACTCCAAGATAAGGTATCATTAAGTTCTGCACGTTCTTACTTTAGTTATCCAACTTTAGACACCTGTTCTTGGCAGCTCACAAAGCAAGGGAACAATGGATGATAGCTGCCATATATCTCTTGAACCAAGAGAGTATTCACTCATTGAAGCAAGTCATCAATTTGCCAAAGTGTTCTCCCCATCTTTCCAGCTGCTTGCCACCTTCTAATATCTCAGAATTGATCAGAAATATCCTTGCAAGTCGATAGAAAGTGATAGCACACAAAGGAAGACTTGAAAACGCGTAGAAACTGAAAAAGGGGTAGAAAAACCCTTTTGATGCCACCTTCTACAGTGCCAGTGATCAGACTCAGATGGATGAGACAATTGGTAGACATGAGGAGAGGGCAAATGGATCTTTGGCTGAACAATCCAGGACAGAGCATGAAGATTATGTTTCTGGAGTGCTGTATGATATGTTACAGAAAGAGGTCGTATCTTTGAGGAAAGCTTGCCATGAGAAAGATCAAATCCTCAAGGACAAGGATGATGCAATTGAGGTTAGCTAGTAGGACCTATCTCATTAATTTTGCAACCTCTCTCCACTTTTGTTTTGCTCTTAACTTGTTTCTTGTGTGGAATCAAATAGATGTTGGCAAAGAAGGTGGATACACTTAACAAAGCAATGGAGGTTGAGGCCAAAAAGATGCGGAGAGAAGTAGCTGCCATGGAAAAAGAAGTCTCTGCTATGCGTGTCACCAAGGAGCCTGATCAGAGGGCACGGCGCTCAAGTGCTCCCCGAGGGGTTGTAAATAGCTCTCATACACTTTCTTCTAGGTAAATAGTTGTGTATAATCTTTAATGGCCTAAAACTGATGCACTAGTTGTGGAACAGGCCGTCATTCTTGTTCCTGCTAAGTTCTTGATTATATAAAACAAACAAAAATGCATGGCGCGATATCCTTTTTTCTCCTTTTTTGGTCATCACATGGTGTGATATCAAATGCTGAAAGTTGATTGATAACTTTTGAGCTACTTCGACTAGAAGACCATTGATCAATCTGAACAAAGTTTTCTTCTTTCTTTCAGGAATGCACACAAGTCTAGGTGATTGACATGGCCGTGACACGATGGCCACATCAAGGGCGCCACACCAATTCTTCGGATCTGCAATCAATATAATTGTATGGTTTTGTCATGATTTTTCGCTCGTCTCCATCTATTTAAGTTGTAAAGAACTGACTTGAGGTTTCTCAGGTCACCCTGCCTTGTATATTTCTTTTGTAGTAATATTTCCCGGAAATATACCACCGAGGGTGGCATGAAAGTTATGAAAGAGATGTGGCTTGTTAGATGCTTTTCAAGGAAACTGCGGACATGTTAAAACTCTGTATACCATAACATAACTGTATATTGGTAAGGAAGTTCACGTTAATTCAATACAGCTTTTGGGCTACATAGCCTTTTCCGAAAATGGGTTTACTGGGTTAACTCATGCTTTCCTTTTGTCCCAGTCTCTTGATATAATTTCCTAGAGATAAGCTGCCTTACAAGGATTTGCTATCTAACCATTGTATGAGATATTCTTCCTCATCGTTCAAAGAATATACCGTCATCGAAAACAAAATTTGATGTCTTTTATTTGAATTAATCTGATTTAATAATTCAGGTATAATATTGTGAGTAGAATTAGACTCAATGGACTCATCCAGGTTGTGGGTTGTTGGAGAGAGAGAGGAGAGGAGAAGGGTGGTAGAGATTAGTGCATGTGGTAGATTGTGCAGCTCGAATCAGGTAAGAACGCTTATGTGAGAACATTATATAAGATTCTCGTGACTTCCAAATCGGCCATTGCCATCTTGCTGAGCTTAATAAGACCTTCATTGCACTAATTCCGAAAACTCCAGCTCCTGAAAATACCAATCAATTTCGTCCGATTGGTCTCTGCAACAACTCCTAAAATCCTTGCTAAGGTGTTGGCCAACAGATTGAAAAGTGTCATCCCTGACATCATCTCTGACACTCAAAATGCCTTCGTGCCGGGAAGACAAATCCAAGATAATATTCTTGTTGCCCATGAGGTTTTTCATTACTTGAAACTGAAGAAAACTGGTGCAACCTTTGAAGCAGGCATCAAAGTAGACATGAATAAAGCTTACGATCGCATAGAGTGGGATTTTTTGGAGGCTCTTATGCACAAATTGGGTTTTGCTAGAAATTGGATTCAGCTTATTATGGCATGCGTGTCTTGTTGTGAAAATGGACAAACACTTTCACTCACTCCCCTAATGATCTTGTTGTTGATGGACTTTGTGACACACACAATGATGGATGAATCAAACACACACACACACTTGAGACAACAACCAAGCACAAAGTGACACAAGAATTTATAGAGGTTCAGCAATTGCCTACATCCTCTTGGTGATCCCCTTGAGAAATTCACTTCATGAAAGAATAAGTTACAACTTTGGTTTTACACAGAAAAACCCCCTTAGAACTCTATTCTCTCCCCAAGCTTTCTTTTCTCTCACACCCTTTGCTCAACACTTTGATGCACTTGTGAACACTCTCACAACCCTTGGTGTTTCCCCCCTTTTGTGTCTAGACTCTCATGACTGCAACACTTCCTCCCTTGATGATTAAAACACCCTTGATGGTATTACAATTACCCTCACCCTTTGTGAACTTAATCACCCCTTGGAGAATAAAGACCATCCCTTGATGAACTTAACCACACCTTGGTGAGATAACCTCCATTGGAACACAATAGCTCCCAGCTACTTGACCACCTGAGATTAACCACATCCCTTGAGGAATAAAGAGCACTCCCTTGGTGAACTAAGTCACCCCTTGGTGAACTAAGCCACCCCTTGGTGAACTAAGCCACAGCCATAGCCACTCCTAACTTCAACTTGCTTTCTCATCTTATAATATCTTGCTTCAAACCCCATTATCTACACAGACCAATGGACATAAGATAAGGCACCATCTTGTCTTCCACGTTCCTTCCTTTAGTCTCCCACTTAGACTAAAGATCAGATCATGCAAGTAAACAAATCCCACTCCAGCCACCTTCCACAAAACCAGAAAATGGAGAATGGATTCCTCAAAGCAAGACAACCAATTGGCAATGAGTGCTCTCCCAACTATCCAGCAGGTAGTCCACCTTCTTTTACCTCAGAAGTGACCCACTAAGCCTCTGAAATCTTGTGGAAAGCGATAGCCCTCGAAAACATAGTTGAAAACACGTAAGGAAAACATCAGCATAGCGCATGGACGACCGGTCGCGGATACCTTACGACCGGTCGTTGAGACCATTTGGATACCTAACGACCGGTCGCGGATACCTTGCGACCGGTCGCTGCCTGCGAATTTTCCAGACTTCGACTCTGTCCAAAAACGACCGGTCGCCCAAACCTTGCGACCGGTCGCT